TGGGAACAGTGGGAAGACCGGGATGAAGCCAGCAGTTCCACATTAGGAGAACGCACTGTAGCATAATAAGATATAAGCTAATTAAAGGTGTGGTTCACTCATTTATTTAACATATGTGCAGATGTCTCTAGTAGAAATTAATGCCTTGTAAGTTGTACGCCTGTTTCAGGATCTAGAAATTTCCAGATAACAGGAGAGCTTCAGACGACAGGATTTGAAGACTTACGTCCTGATATTTGGACCTCTCTCCTCTGATTAGCTAACAGCAACACAAATCTAAGGTCACTTCGAAAATAGTGACCAATCAAGTATTTGAGCATCCAAACACTAATGATCTGTTTGAGAAATTTCAGTCCGGTTTTAGAGAGTACCACAGCACTGAAACGGCATTAGTGAAAGTTAAGTTTTAGAACGTGACTCGTTTTATTGTTTTATTGCATCATTTTTTGATGTGTTCCTAGTATTCCTCATGTTTTATTTGCTTTTATTGATCGGTATTTTTATCCTGTTTTTGCTGCTTTGATTGGTCGTGATTTGTTCCAGCCTGTGCAGCACTTTGGGCAGCTCCCATGCTGCATTTTAAATGTGCTATATTAATAAACTATGGTATGGTACAAATGACATTCTCATGGCCTAAGAAAGGAATCTTGTGTCTGTTCTAGTCTTGTTAGATCTCAGTGCTGCTTTTGACACAGTTGATCACAATCTTCTTTCAGAAAGGCTTGAACATGTTGTAGGGATCAAAGAAACAGCGCTAGGCTGGTTTAAATTCTACCTGTCAGATAGATTTCATTTTGTAAATGTACATGACAAATCTTCTTCATACTCCAGGGTTACTTGTGGAGTACCACAGGGTTCAATGCTTGGACCAATTCTGCCCAAACTGGAAAGCTAATGGTGAAACAAATACTGAGCAGAAAATAATTAATAAAACAGAAAGACATAAAAACTAAAAGGTGCTTCAGCCGGTTAGACCAAGTGTCAGCAATCCACGGCTCTTTCATCCATCTGATGCGGCTCTCTGCTAGTAAACTAATTAATGAATATTTAATTACAATGTATTTTATTTTACTGCATTCATTTTTTATCTGTAGCCAATTCTAAATTTAAAGATTGTCTGCGTAAATCTGAACCTGCTTGTGCGTAATCAAATGTCTCTATAGGCGGTTTCTGAGCTGAAGAGGATATGAGATTCTGGACTGTTCCTCGGACAGGCTCATGGATGCGTCGGAGCTGGAGACAAGAACAAGAGCTATTCAGCCAAAGACTCATAATCAGGGAACATTTTTTAAGTGACAAGGGTAGCAGGATAAAACAAGCCTGCTCCAAATTAGGTGGGTTGGCGCATACCGGTTCCCGTACTCATGAGGGCGCTGTGGGTATGAAAGGGAGCTCTGCTCACTGTTGGAGCATGCTAAGGAAACGCTGCATTCTGGCGTCAGCTGCTGTATTCAAACTGCGCCTCAGTAGGTGATCGGCTCTGCTTTGGTGGTATGTACTCTACTGGCTAATCAATTAGTTTTAAGGAGATTCGTACTCAAACTGTGTTGTGCACTCAACAGCTTGGTCATTTGTTTATTTTGTACTGGGCGTGACACTACCGCCATCCCAGAGTGAACTGAACATTGGAGAAGTGGTATGTAGCTCCTGTAGCGGACAGCATGTGAGTTGAACTAATCCAACTCAAGCTCTGTGTTAAAACTCGGACAGGTGTTGAATACCTGTGCGCTGCCAGGCGGGGAAGCTTCCTTGCGGCCTAGAAGATACTAGCGGGCGGACCGGTAGGTATGGGCCTCACCTTCTCCAGACTTGGTCAAAAATATAAGTTGTTGACTTGCACCTTTTCCCTGCTTTCTCTTAGATTGTGCTCTGGCGGATGGTGCCGCTGTTTCGTTTGTTATTTTCTTCGTTCAGTTTTCCAGTTCCCCCCCCCTCCAGTGGGCTCGGCATGGACCTCTGCACGGTTTCGGAGGCTTTCCCACTCTCATCGTGGGAGTCCAGAGGGGAAAACAACTGTTTTAATGAAGTGATTTTAAATGATTGTTTGTTTGTAATTCCCCTTTTCTTTTGTGCAGGCTGGGAAAGGAGGTGGTGGCGGTCCCGGTTGTGCATGTGCTGGTGCTGGGTTCCCTCACGATGGCATGAATGTCACTATTGCCTGGGGTGACTTTATTATATATTATTGCACTTGTTTCCTTTTTGGGGGGATTCATCACCCCGTGTGTCATTCCCTCCTACAGCTAGTCTCAGTACTGCAAGTTATTCCCTGTGTGTTTTGTTTTTAATCAAAGACATTTTTAACCATATACATATATATTTTTTTTTAAATAAATCAAATGTAACTTTTGGACCCACGTCTCATGCCTCATTTAGTGGAATGAACCTATGTGCTTTCTGTTACTTTCTTGGGTGAAATTCCCAAGGTGCCGTTGCTGACAGCTGTTGGCGGCTCCCTGAACAAAGTAAAAGGTTACAGTGTGTATGGAGCATGCCATATCTATAGCTCCCTCGTGTATTGCCACACAAGTTTCTGAGAGACCGGGTTTAGAAAACACAGAATCTTCCTGCATGGTTCTGGTTCTGCGATGCGCTCCAAGCCCCCGATCTACACATCTTCAGCTCGCTGTCCACCTTACGCATGCGCTGACAGTGAGCTGCGCTGAGCTCAGTGTCCATCTCAGATGTTCTGATGGGAATCTTTTCCTGATTGATGTAGCTACCTCCACGATGTGCGTAATGATTAAAATGTCAGCGCATCTGCAGGTTTGAGATTTCTCCATCAAAATAAACAATCAAATACGGGAAACATCCGGTCAGTGCGAACCCTGTCATTTAACTGTTTTACCTTCTGGTGAAGATTGTTGCAAACAGAAACATTCAACCTGATTAACTCCAGAGCCACGCACACTGCACCGTTATCTCAGTCAATGTAAATGAGGGGGAAAAAAACTAATAGTCGATCGAGACAGAGCCTGGATTTGTATTCTGAACAGTTATATGTGACACCTCAAAAAGCATCACCTGCTCAACTATTAAAACCACTAGCAGGGTGAAAAATATCGAAATATTGTAGCACAGACGGGGTACAACTTTTGGAACAATTTTATACAAACTGTTTTATTAATTATCTTCTGTTGAAAGATAACTTTGAGGTACATGAGTGACTGGTATTGGTTGCTGTCACCTGTTGTGATGGATTAAAGCAGCTCTCTGCTGTCTGAGGGTAGGCCCCGCCCACAACGCTGTGGCTCCCAGTGTTTTCTTTACCGTGGGAAATGGGTAATAGTGGCTCTTTGATGGTAAAATGTTGCCGACCCCTGGGTTAGACAAATAAAGAAAGTAAAAAATAAAACATTACTCCAAATACTTTAAACAGTTTAAAGGGTTAAAACGTAATACTAATTTAGTAATTTAAGTAATTTAGTTAATGACATTTGAGGGATATTTGGGGTCTTTTTAATCTGTAAAGCACTTAGAGTTACATTTTTTGTGTGAAAAGCGCTTTATAAATCAAGTTTGATTTGATTTAAATTTTCCTGTTTAATCAGATTAATCGAGTCAAGACCCCATCCAATCATCATTCAAGAACCAAATAATTGTTTGTTACAGCCCTAGACTGTAGAATGGCCAGGCCATGTAATCAGTCTTGATGATCGGAAGCAAAAAAACCTGATTGAAGCATCCCTAACTACTACTACTTGCAGGTCTGATTAGTGGTGTTTTAAGAAATTATTTTAGTTACGCTTTCAAGAACCAAACTGAACCATTTTTAATCCTTTGGGAAAAAACATTTAAATTCCAAGAAAAGTCTGGTACCTCCTGGAGCCTAACCTGACCTCAACCAAACATAATCAAATGAACCTCTCAGCAACCTTCATACAAATTTTTAAACATCATCATCAATGCACCTAAAGCACACACGAGGAGAAACCAGTGAATTAAGAGAGCTAATGTTATTTTGAAACAGTTTAACTTAAAGATGCCTTCACATGACCTGAGTAAAGATTAACAGGCTGATGACTAAAAGCAGAGCTCATGAATATCCGGCCGTCCTTCAGCGCTGCAACAGCCCTGAAATAACCAGCAGAATTTGGGAATGTGGAGCACTTCAATAACAACATTTCTCACTGTGAAAGCCTCTTGTCCTCTCCAGGGTGGAGGGGGATGTCTCAGCCAAGCTGCTTCAGCTTCATCAAGGATGTTTCACCGTTCAAAGCTACAGACGCCGTTTGGCGTTTTACCCAGCAGGAGACTCAGAAATAGGCAGAAAGCCCTCCGTGTGGGTCTGGTTTTTAATTACATTTCCCTCACTTCTGCAACACTTTCTAATGTATTTTTTTTCTTGTGGTGTTGGTGAGGGGGTCAAATTTGGAGCTTCAGCAGCAGCAGATCAGGTCCTGTCCTGCACAGCTAGGTTGATGTTTGGCCTGTTGTAGTTTTTACTCTTGTGTTTCTGTAAAGCAGTGTCCCCCAACCCTGGTCCCCAGGGTCCACTGTCCTGCATGGTTTCCATATCTCTGCTTCAGCACTTCTGATTTACATAATTTGCATTGCAGAAAGACATCAAGTGCTGCAGATGGCTGTTAATCACTCATTAATTTGAGTCAGGTGTGTGGCAGGAGGGAAACAATGGTGTTTGAAAAGGCAGGACAGTGGCTCCTGAGGACCAGGGCTGGGGAACCCTGCTGTAAAGGATAATTTAAACCTTGGTCATCTATAAACAGCTTAAGGCTCCTCCCTTTCTGGTTGGCTCATAGGTCTCTGAACAGGGCTACAAAATGCCCCTTCTATACTAGCATCCGCTCCACTCCACTCCCTGCACCCCGGCCCCATTCGTTCCCCATAGAAATGCAGACGTGATTGAGTACATGGGCGATCTGTGATGTCATGAGAGCATCTCTGAACAGGTGGGCGGGGCAAAAGAGAACAGATAAGTCCTTGGTGTCTCATTATTAAACAAAAGCGGCCTGAACAGTCTTGCTTTTGGAGACTCACTCTGATGTAGCATCCTGCTTTGTTGTGTCTGGCAGCACTGTGTGTGTGTGTGTGTGTGTGTGTGTGTGTGTGTGTGTGTGTGTGTGTGTGTGTGTGTGTGTGTGTGTGTGTGTGTGTGTGTAAGGGTGCGTTTGATTTTCCTCGGAACTTGGAACTGGGAATGATGTCACACCCGAGTTAACAGTGTTCTGGTTGCCGGAGACTGAGAAGTCGGGATTCCAATATGGCGAAGCCCTCGAAAACTGCTGGTTTGCTAGCTCTCAACGAACACAGTTGACTCATAAACACACATAAAGCTCATCTTCAAAGAATATTCGAAGAGAGACAAAGACGAAGAAGGTAGGTGTTCCTCTTTCAGCATATTGCTGTTGGTTGAGTCTTTCGTCAGGATTTTCAACCTTCATTGTGTGTTGTGCCATTCTCCAATCTGTTTTTTAAAGGGATAGAAATCACACTGCTATATGTGAGATGCAAACAAAAAAAGACGAATATGTTGTCGGATTTGTAATTAAGTGTTTGTTTATTTATGTGTATTTAGGAGTAATAAGAAAATGATTTAGTGATGATTTAAGTTAAAACTATTATTTTCTCTTCTTACTGTGAAGTGCTTTGTAATTTTTATCTTAAAGGCACAATAAAAAACTGGTTTCTTCTCTTTCCTAGGATGTACTGTCATCTCCTACTGCAGAGAATGAAGAGGCTTATCCTGAAGACTGGAACAGAGTGGGAGGTTTTGCTATACATGGATGAGAACACCTTTGCTCGCCATTTTAGGGTCACCAGACCACAGTTTGAATACCTGACAATGAAGCTGCATGAGAATGGAGTAGGCAGGGAACACCATCAAGGCCTGCTACCAGTTCCTGTGACAAAGAAGGTGCTGATGTTTCTGTGGTACATGGCGAACCAAAACAGCTTTAGAGAGATGTCTGACAAATTTGATGTGTCCCAGTCTGCGGCACACCAAATCATTGTGGATGTGCTTAAAATACTTTGCACACTTGGCTCAAACTTTGTCTCCTGGCCAAATGCCTGTGAGAAAGCAACATCTGCTCTTGCTTTTCAGCGACTCTGTGGCACTGGTGTCATTGGTGCCATCGAAGGGTGTCATATAAAGGAGCAGAAGCTACCAGTGCAAGGTGTAGACTACATGAACAGAATGTCTTTTTTATCTGTCCTTCTCCAGGGGATTGTAGATGACAGAGGAAGATTCTTGGACATTTGTGCTGGACCACCTGGAAGGGTGCATGATGCAAGGATGTTGAGGGCTTCTCCCTTCTTTGAATCATGGCAGGAGAAAATGGCTGGTTACAGCTTACTTGGAGACTGTGCATACATCAGGCGAGATTTTCCATTTGTTGTAACCCCTCGACGCAACAACGGAACCCTGACTTGTGAGGAACAACTTCAGAACAACAAGATCAGTTGTGGTAGGGTGGTTGTTGAACAAGCTTTTGGACAAATAAAGTGCATGTGGAGGCGTCTCCGTGATCTTCAGAACACCAGCATCAAAACTGTGGTGATGATAATAATGGCAGCCTGTTTTCTGCACAACATGACTATTGCTGACTTGTGCCAGCTGCACCCCAGGGCTGCCCAAGAGAGGATGATGACAACTAGTAGTGTTGTCAAAGTTGCAAGACACTTGTTTTGCGTTTACAAGTATTTTGCAATTCTTCTTGTTCTTGTCAGATATTGAAATATGTTAATTGCAGTGTGCCTGTATTTCAGTGGCTTTATTTTATTAAAGTGTTTTCTCTGCTTCACACTCAAGTATTTATTCTGGGGTTTTACTCTTTCCTATTTACTCTCTCTTTCTTTACATTTTTAACTCACAATTTACTATTTTCTTCTCATTCTAAACATGTTTTTTTACCACTTTATAAAAATATTTTCTATATTAAATTGTTTTCTTTTTGTGAAGAGCCTTGTGATTTTTATCTTGAGAGGTGCTATATAAAAGATTGTTTCTATACTTAATAAAGATGAGGCTGTTGTCATTGGTAATGTTGAACAGACTTGGACACAATATTAGAAGCAAAACATTTTATAAAAAAAAGAAAGGTAATCAGTTTTAAAAAGTCTACAATCTTTACTGTAAGACAGAACACATCTAGTTGCCATTAATGAAAATATTGCACACAAAGAATAAGGATTTATGAAAATATTGCACAAACGCTACAATCTTGTAAAGCCAAAGAAACAGATACAAAGAACTATTTCTTATTGCACTGGAAATATAATGAAAACAGTACACATTGATTTAAAGTGGACATTTTTGTGCAAACCCCAACATTTTCAAACAACTACATATTTTCAATGAGTCTGTTCATTACAGCCTCAAAGCTTTCCTGAGCTGTGCGCAGTTGTTGCATGGTATGATTCCTTAGAGTCCCTAAAAAACTGCAGAAGCTCATCCTGGGACTGATCCCCTGCACCATTTGCGTGATGGTGAGGGTGTGTCAGGCACAAGAAGTTCTGGTCTCCTCACCTCCAGTCCTGCTACAGTTCCAATTACTGGAAAGACAACATCATGTTGGCCCCCTAACAGCTGCTCCATCTCTTCAAATAACTGAAATCGCATAGCTCCTTTCCCTGTACTCTTATTGTTGTCTTTTATTTTTTTGTAGGCATCCACCAAAGTGTTCCATTTCCTAGCTACTTTGTTTGGGTGAAAGCTCTCTACAAAATGTAAGGACAACTTTTCTGCAACAGATTTCCACAGGTATTTTTTTTTTTTTTTTTTTTTTTTTTGTTGCCTGTACCATTTTTCAGCCTCATGTTCAGCTCTTTCAGAGTTCTGGGGCAACCGTTGCCATCCTTTTCCAGGTGTTCCCTCATCTGGTCGATTAAAAACAATGTTTGTGCTCGACTGAATCCCTGGTTTGCTGCCAGGCTTGAAGTAGACGTTGAAGTCACGTTCTCTTTGGCTTTAAGGACAGGTAAAAACAATAGTTATGATGCTGCAAGAACATTTCACATTTATTATGTTAATTGTAACATTTACTTCAGGAGCTTTACCTGACTCATCACAAACATCCTCCTCAGCCTCTATAAGGTTGGGCTCTATTGTGAGATCCTCATCCATGTAGCACGTGGGACTGCCCTGCCTCTGGAACAAGGGGCCAGGAAAGGGGTTTACTCCTCTGTTCATCTAGGAACATTGCCATGTTTTTGTCCAAATAGACTGCAAAATCAACAAATAAAGATTAAAATGAAATACATTTGATGAAATTAAAAAATTTAATGCAAAAATGCGGCAACAGGTAGAAAATAATGTAACACCATTATTAGGACTGTAAAAACATACAGCCTAAAAATACAAATGTATTCCCTGAAAATTGAAATCTCAGTAGGCAGTTTGGAATCAAAGAGTGAAAAATAAAAAGCTATCTTTACGAGCTGTGTATCTTTTTGCTTTGTGGGGGAGTAGGATAGCACACCTCCCAAGTAGCCATTGTTTGTATAACGTAGTTATAAGCTGTATGTTCGACATGCAAACAACACTTTTAGATTGTTCAGCTTGGAGTTGCAGCCGCTACATATAGCATTGAATTTAGACGCACTCTTATAAGTAAGTCTTGTAAAATAAACACATTTCAATCAAAACTTACTTTTGTTGATACGGAGAGCTGCCATTTTGGATCTCGAAGTCGGGGTTGTGAAAATTTTCAAAGTTTCCGACTGGGAGGTCCAAGTTCGGGGGGGGGGGGGGGGGGGGTATTTGAATTTTCCTACTGGGAGGTGGGGATTTCCAAGTTCCGAGGACAAATCGAACGCACAATAAGGCTTGTTAACTCCACAGCATCCAGAATGATAATGAATAGCGCATGCAGGAAGCCCCCGCGGGCTGATATTATCCACCAATCAGAGGCTCCCCCTAATAGTGGGCGTGCTTAAGAGCCAGCCAATCAGTCATCAGTGGGCGTGTCGGCCCAGTTCGGCTGCAGGCAGAACTTCTTGAGAAGAGGGCTGAAACGACGTCCAGTTGTGCATGAGAAGATCCAAGGCTACCTAAATGAGAAAATTCCCAACCCGGTCCACGCTGAGGAGCTGATGCTGAGGGCCAAATGTCATGTTTTGGTCCATGTTGCCTTAGGCTCTGAATCAGACATATGTTGTTCTTCAACATGAATGAAAAGTTATATGTGTTTCGACCATGCCTGTCACGCATACGATGTCACAGCAGAATATCCTCTAGTGGTTTTCTCCAATTGTAATGTTCCTTTCACCCTGGAAGACGGATGTGAAGCTTGCTAAACTCACAGCCAACGTTCTTCTTTGTGTCTTGTTCGATGATGACAATTTGGCCCTGGACGTCTTTTACACAAAACCTAAACTAACTTTTGCCACCTTTTGAAAATCAGCGCTTACTTGGCATCAAAATGCAGGGCTGTACAGTGCAATATATATGTTGCTAGTGCGATGAAAAAAACTCTGTGTGATAAACTATTTTTAAACGTAGCACTTATGCGACATCTTTTCAAGTTGCTTTTTTCCCCAGAACTATTGAACCAATGTAAGTTGCTTGTTATTGTGTAAGGAATGCTTTTTATTGGCACATAATGTTCTAATCTAGATGCTTTGTAGAAAAGCAGAGAAACCAGCAAAGACACAAAGGCAGAAACGGTACAAAGTTTGGGATGAAAAGTGTAACTACTGGCTTATTAGCTAATGCTAACGGGTAGCAGGCTCACGATCAAGCGGGGTTTCGAAAACTGAGAATATCTAAACTCCACAAGCAGAAGAAAAGTCCCCGTCCTCCAGTTTATTCTTGGATGTCTACAGGTAGGTCAATTTTAGTTCATATAATATTAACTAATATATAAATATATACAACACCAATTTAATACATATTATAGGGCGCCTTATTTATTGGTTATTTTTGAGCTGCCTAGTCCCACCCCTCATGTGCCTCTCTGCCTGTGAGTTACCTGACTCATCTCTGTGCAGAATTAAACAGAGGACGAGTCTGGCAGGCCAGGCTAGGGAAACACCATTTTTGTTTTTTGGTGAAAATAAGTCCAGAACTACAAATGTCCTACTCTACTGTCTGGAACGTCTTATGGTGAATTTTAAAACAAGCACTTTTTTAAACTTTTAAAATTTGCATCAGATGTTAAAGCTTCTTTCCAGAGTATTTCTCTTATCCAATGGCACCATCTAGTGGCTGACAAGCGTATCACCCAAAACTGCAGTTCCTCTGTTTTTTTAACAGTTCCAATTACATTTCTGTTCATAAATGTACCTCTGTAGCCAACAAACAGAGCTAAAACACGTTGTTTTACGAGTATTATTCTCATGTCATGTTGTGTTTTCATATATTTATATTTTAGAGACTATCTTGTCCGTGAAAAGTTCATCAACTCTGCATCAGTCGAGGTATTCCTTAAATGCGAAACGTCTAAGCGGTAGTCTCACGCTATACTGGTTAGTTCTGGTCGGCGCTCAGTTTCATATTGCACGCAGCTCTGCGGGGCAGCTCTGCGGGGCAGCTCTGCGGGGCAGCGAGCGTGCTTAGCAAAAAAAATGACGTATTGCTTATACTATATCACAGTACATGATAAGATAATCACTTTTACGGATTTCTGACAAATCATACATTATTTCTGAAAGAGGAAAACTCCAGAAAGCAGCGTTAAGGCAGTCTAGGAAGCTCTAATAGTAGGGGTGTAATGGTTCACGGGGGTTATTGGAACCGTTGTGGTTCAGGCAGTTCGGTTCGGTCCACTTGCGTACTGTTTTGGTTTATTTTGTCCATTAAATAATAAATCATGCAAATATGTGAAAAATTCAAGTGCAGCGGATCAAAGTTCCTCGGCGAGTTCCACATAGATGCTGTATTGAGTAAAGCATGATGGCTGCATGCGCCTGATCTCTGTTTAAAAAATGTGATCTGCAAATTCTGATCGACGTCTTTTAGAGCAGATTAAACCAGTTGACTGTCGCTGCTACTGTGGAGTCTGTGTAGAGACTCTAAGCATCGTGTCGCCTCTCCCTCCCTTCTCTCACAGTGTGCAGGCATGCAGCGTGACAACTGATGTAAATTTTTCATCTTACAACGAAAAATACGGCACGGAGGAAGTTCGTTATTTAATACGGGTTTTAAAGAAGACACTCTGGGCGGTGAGAGGTAGGGCTGGGCGATATGACGATTTTAGACCGTTTTACGATCTACACATCTGACGGTCTGTCATTTTTCAGAGACCATTTTATCACGATTCACAGCTCTGCTGTTGAATTTCTGCCTCTGAATGAAAAGGGAACGTACCTCAGGCGAATGACACGCCTTTGTTTGACCCTTAACCAATCAGAGTGAGTCATAGTAATATATTAGTGCCCCGCTTGTTTTCACCTGTGTGTGAACAAACATGGCTTCGGCCGCGGCTGAGCGACAACGAGGTTTTCGTTCCGAAGAGGAACGCAGGGTTTCCTTAGCGCACGGCGCTAACAACTTAGCGACGTGACATGTCTCGGAGAAAGCGTAAAAACACGTTGGACGCTTCTTCTGAAGCAGGAAAATAACACCGCTTCTTAAGCAGAGCACAACGCCGCCTCGTCCACCCTCTGCCGAGCCGGTGTCGGTACCGGACTGAGCTCGGTCACTGGGTCGTTGGAGCTGCCCCGTGACTGCCTGATGGAAAACCAGCGGGTTTCATCAGACTCGTAGTTTCTTGTTTTTGTTGGGGACCCCCTGTATTTTACCGCTCCCTCCTGCAGTCTTCCCCTATTACAATTTAAAATGATTCTGTAA